ATATTTCTTTGAAAAACACTTAATTTAAATAATTTTGGAGCCTAGGAGCCACCCTCTAGACGCCTAGGCGTCACTTGGGTGGTGCTTACTTTCCAGGCTCTCGGGAAAATGACAATTTTTTGTCTGATTTGGAGGCTTAGGCACCCTCTCGGTTTTGGTGCCTAGGAACTCGGAAAGTTGTCCAAACGCCACAAGCAGGTATTAAATCTTTTGATGCTTGGGATTGATGATTCGGGATGGCATTTTGGGAGCCCCGGTGCCCGGGGCTCCGATCTAGCCCGAAATCCTAATTTTTGCTGGGAGAGCCCGACGGAGCATTTTTACGATCTGTAAGCTATCGGAAATCCATATGAGTGAAATATAATCTCATAACTCCAAAATGAAGTATTTTAGTCGGACATTTATAGGAGAAATTACTGCCAATGATCGTTCTACATTGTGATGCGGGTAGGGTGTCCATAATTATCCCATTCAACACGTAGGTTGACTTCGTGGCTTCAGTTGGCCATAAAAGGTTCTAGATGAATGTATAGTGACCTCTAAACCTCAATTTAGGCACCAAGCACGTCTCAAATCCTGAACAAACCCTTTCAAAGGGGGTGTTTTTTCGGGTAGGACTAGATCGTTGCTAACCCTAACTACTTGCCCCGCGCACAAGTTCTTAAGGGCCCCGGGTGATTGTCTTAGTTGTTGGATTCTACGGAAGAACTGTGGACCACCCTGAGTCATGAAGTAGACACCCTACACTCATGTCATCAAAAATTGATGCCAACAAAAACCAACATAATAAAAGATATTAAACCTAAGGTGAAAAGTCACATGATCAAAATGACCAAATTTGGGTGCATGACAAATGGCTTCAAAATTCAAAAATCCACCAAAACCTCTTCTCATGACAAGCCATGCAAGCCACTCAAGTACTTCATTTGATTATCCTGCGTCATCAAAAATTGATGCCAACAAAAACCAACATAATAAAAGATATTAAACCTAAGGTGAAAAGTCACATGATCAAAATGACCAAATTTGGGTGCATGACAAATGGCTTCAAAATTCAAAAATCCACCAAAACCCCTTCTCATAACAAGCCATGCAAGCCACTCAAGTAATTCATTTGATTATCTTGCATCGGAAAACCTTATAGTTAATTACATCTCATGAGTTATAACTACCAAGAATACTCTCGATTAAAGTTGTGCATTTTATCAACCCAAACAAATCACAATATATGTTGGACATAGGAAAATTAGTCTGTCATGACTCCTAACGTAGTGAACCAACCGGAGTTCAATGAAATCATGTCACGTGGCGGTGAAAAAAATGCCCAAACAAACCACGATATATGTTGGACACAGGAAAATTATTCTGTCATGACTCTTAACGTAGTGAACCAATCGGAGTTCAATGAAATCATGTCACGTGGCGGTGACAGAAAAAAAATAAAATATGTCTGGTAACACAATGTAATATTCCTTCCGTGTTATTTAAGTGTTATTATGTTATTATAACACCCAGAATATTCTCATAACACAATAACACTTAAATGAAATTTCTTGTTGGATTATTGCACAACTTTTTCTAACAAAGTTCCAAAATAACTGCCAATTTTATTTCTTTTGTGCTATTCAGGTGTTATTGTGTGTTATTTAAGTGTTATTATGTTATTATAACACCCGAAATATTCTCATAACACAATAACACCTAAATGAAATTTCTTTTTGGATTATTGAACAACTTTTTCCAACAAAGTTACAAAATAACTGCCAATTTTGTCAATTCATCATTGCAAAGTATGACAGTAATTCAACATATGGATCTCCCAGTGTTTCCAACATAACTGGTAAAAGTTTAATTATTTATAATTAGAAAAGATTTAATACATACGACACAATTTCATTATATTTACATGTCTATATATACTTGCTCAAAGTCATTAATTTATAGCCCTAATTAAATGGTGAATTGGATTAGTCAAGTAGAACTACCAATTTTGTCCTATAAGCAAGTAAGCCTCAGTTGCATCCTCAAATGGTGTTTGAATATCCAATATGTTAATCAAAGTGAATGAGAGGTGAGTTTAAGTCGGCATATCAATGTTTGGGACGTAGCTTGATCGAAACATAAATTGTTCGTGTTCAATTCAAGTGAATGAGAGGTGAGTTTAAGTCGGCATATCAATGTTTGGGACGTAGCTCGATCGAAACATAAATTGTTCGTGTTCAATTCAAGCTTTCAACGAGCTTCAATCAAAAATGTTTATAGTTGTTTAAAATTTTTATTATTCATACTTAATTACTCCTGAATTGTTTACATTAATTAAAAAAATTAAATATTTAAATGAGTAATTAATTTTTTCACATAAAATTAAACAACATGATTTGTTATACAAAACTAGTGAACAAATTAAAGTTTTAAATGAGTATTTAATCTTTTATATAAAACTATTAAAAAATAATTTTATGATTCTTAATAAATAATTAATTAAATAAATTTCAAATGTCAAATAAATAAAATAATATATAAATTATAAATAAATTATTTTATAATCAAACAACATAATTAAATACCAACCAATTCGCTAAAATAAAAAAATAATTTAAATAGTTCATATATTAATCATGTCACGTCTATGTTATTCATCGAGTGCATTGGTTCATTTATGACCCTAACTGCATGCATAGGAATTTAATTTTGATTATGGCATGTCTTTCATTAAAATTGCAAGATTTTAATGATATTAAGAGAAATTTTGAGAAAGGCTTGGATTGAAAAAAATTTGAATTTAAAATATATAAAAAAACACCAATTTTGACAACTCAAATCATTAGATTTC